AGTTTCTACCCTCCCTTGTACTGAAAAGGATTTTAGTGAGTATTTTGGGTAGTCCTTTCATTTCAAAAGCACCAACTGATGAAGCTCACCAAATATTTTGGAATTCTTGATGCATAGGAAGGTGCTCTGGTGGCACTGTGAGTCACGCTTTGAGTTGCTACCTGCAAGGTCAGCTGCTTAGAGAGAAAAGTGAGGCTTTTGCTCCTAAAAGATTAACAGCTTCAGAAACCCTTGGGAGCCGTTTTACTCTGCATTACAGAATCGCTATGAATCAGAATCAACCCAATCAATGGCAGTAGATTTTCAGTTGATGGGTAGCTATGTGGTGCTTTTGCCAGCTGGGGTGGTGTACTCTTGCAGAACAAGGAGGGTGACAGTCCTTTATAAATAACACCAAGGACATATTAAATAACAATGGTGGAAGGGTGTCTGTCGTAACATTGATCTTAACATTGTATTGTTACATTTTCAGGAGGCTACTAAAGTTCCTGTGGGAGTGAATTAGAATTTCATAAGAGCATAATGGGTAAGTTATATAACAATTATTTTGTTTTGAATAAAGCTGATTTTTTCTTCTCAGCTAAACACAGACCTTTGAAGTTGTGCTTGCAAGAAGAAAATGTTCAGAGTACACTGAAATTAACTGTTTAAATGAACAACTTAGGTTTATTACATATTCCTGAAAGGCATTTCTGCAGTATTACTCTGCCATATCCAATCAATGAGTCCTAGTGAGAAATTGTTCCTTTTTAAGAAATTGACTATCCTAATAGATGTAAAAAAAACAGTTTTTAGGAATTGGTGGGAACTGCCGAGGCTATGTATGTTTGAGTAGCCTATATTTAGAAATTATTTACATCTTTGAGTTCCTCAGCTGCTGCTTATGAAAAGTTGGCAGAATAATTCACTATAAACACTGAAGTTGTCACCAGTTGTTAACTTTGTTTTTTTTCATGTTTGTGTGTATGCACACACCCTGCTTTTCCAGTTTGTTCCTCTCATTAACATAAACCCACTGACCCCTAAGGTTCCTATCTAATTTTTTTGAGCTGTTGCCACAAGTTTGATTCACTGCCATCCAGTCAATGCCAGCTCATAGTGACCCCATAGGGCAGGGTAGGACTGCCCCTGCATTTCTGAGACCACCTAGGAGGTGCTGTTGCATTTGGACTACGGACCAGTGTATACTCAGGGCCGTGCTCCGCATGGTGTACACGTGTGACACCACCAGCAGCTCCGAGGGAGAACGATGGGGCTTTCTCCTCTGGTAAACAGTTAGTCTTAGAAACCCACAGGGGTGGGGTAATTCTATCCTATTTAATAGGTTGGCTATGCGTCGGCATTGACTTGATGGCAGTGATTTTGTTTTTTCCATAGAGACTGATCTTTTTGTTT